TTTCTTTCTTTCTTTCTTTCTTTCTTTCTTTCTTTCTTTCTTTCTTTTTTTCTTTCTTTCTTTCTCTCTCCTCTCTCCCTCCCGCGCTCTCTTTCTCTCTCTCTCTCTCTCTGTCTCTCTCTCTCTCTCTCTCTCTCTCTCTTTAAGTTTATCTTTCTCTGTCTTTCTCTCTGTAGAGCGCGCTCTGATCGAGCCCAACACAGCCACAGAGTTGACAGAGTTCAGGGGCGCGGCCAAGAGGAGGACATGGCCACAGAGCCCAGCCACAGAGTTGACAGAGTTCAGGGGCGCGGCCAAGGAAGGACAAGAGGAGGACAAGGCCTGGGCACAGAGCCCACACAGGCGCGGCCAAGAGGAGGACAAGAGGAGGACAAGGCCTGGACACAGAGGTTGACAAAGTTCAGGGGCGCGGCCAAGAGAAGGACAACAGGCCTGGACACAGAGCCCAGCCACAGAGTTGACGAGTTCAGGGGCGGCCACGAGGAGGACAAGAGGAAGACAAGAGGTGGGCAAGAGGATGACAAGAGGAGGACAAGGCCCAGCCACAGAGCCCAGCCACAGAGTTCAGGGGCGCGGCCAGTGAGTGTGGCCAGCTGATAGAACCCCAACAGTAAACTGCTTGGGGAAAAAGAAAGTGTGTGAGAAGAAAGAAAGGATGAAAGGGGGGAACCAATTTTGGCTGTCGCGCTGACGAAGTTCAGCGGCCAAGGGGGCAAGGCCAAGTTCACACCGTGCCCTTTAACACAACGTATCAAAGGGCATAGACCACGTCTTAGGAGACTCTTTGGCTCCTTTCCGAAAAGCATGAAGCACCAACAACAAGGCATCCGGAGGCATGTAAACCTCAGCACCAACGAAAGTCCCCTTAGGGAAGCACTTACCATTACTCTTGTTCTTATATTCGATGCAGACAGGAGCAACCGAAAAGGCGCACTTTTTGCAGAAAGCAAAAAAACTCTGCAAAATCCTGGCAAAGGAAGCAGGTGAAGCAACGTCAGGACTGTCAATGGCAAAATGCACTTTCAAGTAGAAGGCAAAGATGGCAAGCTCAAAGGCTCAAAGATGGAAGTGGATTTGCCTTCACCTTGCGACCACCGCAGCCCACGAACAGAAACGAACAAACAATTGAAAGTTCCCAGGCTTGAGAGAACCTCTTGTATTGAATACGATATAGTCGTCAAATTCTGCCTGCCAAGTGTACAGGGACAGTACAGCATTCCATGACCATTGTGGACAAAGCACACGAGGGTCAGCTTCTTCAATCACAGGATCAGGTGATATTTCTTTTTTCTGCTTGGGAGACAAGCTGGAGAAGTATTTGTTCAACTTTGCAAGGCGCTGGTGTTGTACAAACACAGCTTCTTTGTACAGCAACAGAGTTCGAAGCGCCTCTTAACATTCGGCACAAATCACGTTTGCTTTGCCGCAAAAACGACAATCGGAGGCCTCAAGTAGCCCTGCTGCACACAAGCGATCAGCGGTAAGCGAGCACCCTGTGATTGCCGACTCCCGGTGGAACAGGAAGGAAAAGTGCTCGTTCTCGAGCTTATCAAGACGACTCTTTGCAGGGAAACTGAAGGGGCTGGAAAAACGAAACCGCACCTGATTAGAACGAACCTAGGTGGAAGTAGCCTGGTTTATGCGCATACTGTATGTGCACCAAAGGCTCCGACAGACCCCACTGGGTCTTGAACAAGCTTTGGTCGCTGCGACCACCTCGTGGCATAAAGCCTGCTCTAGTCCGCCGCGGACACGTTCTGGCGTGCCTGAAGGCTGCCTGCTCGCATTCAATAATTCGTCAGGTTGGCAAGTAGCTTTGGCTTAAGCCTCCTACTGTCCGCTCCAGACACCTACGTTCCCAAGCCGGCGAACATGGACAAACCCTCGTTCAACGGGGCCACAGGGACACTCTTCGGGTACACCCTGGGCTGGCATGAAGCCAGACACACTCGAGATATTGCGTACTGAGAGTTGAAAGCCACTCCCCACACGGCGACCTTAGGTAACCATATTCCTGAGAAGATCATGTAAGGGGTCTGATCATTGGTAGTCATTAGGAGGCCAAAAATCGGAATCCATAAGGCGAAGTGACGACGATCGCTCTCATCTGCAGAATGGTGAACCGCTGCAATGGCTGGCACTCTTGTTGTAGTTAAAACGGGCCCAGTGGGAAGCGAAAGTCATCACTGAATCAGGTACGTCATCAGGCATCCCTGATGATATCCTAGGAGCGTATGAGGAGCTTCGTTGGATGAAGCCTCATACGCCCTCTCCATGCCCCGGCCAAATTAAAAGTCAAAAGAAGACAATACACAATCGAAGATTCGGTTTCACACACACACACACACACTCGGGATAAAGTACATACAAGTCTGAATGCCGCTTGCCCCGAAGCTACCTAAGTAATTCAAAAGACCCAAACAGGCAGGTGAAGCGGTGTCTAATCGTCTAATCTTTTGAACAACCCCGACTCCCAAAGTCCTGGCGCCACCGTGCAGCACAGCTTGCAGCCCATTTCTTGCCATGGAGCTCCACTGGAAAGTCCATGGAATGCCGCAGCCTTGGATCAAGGTGCGCACAAAGCAGCCTTGAACAGCAGTGCTGTGGACCCAGCAGTGAAGCTCTGCACTGTCAATGCCTCTGGCTCTCATTCACCAGTCACTGCGTGGATTGCTTTGACATTTCAAGATTGAGCTGGTTCTACTACTAGTAGACCCTCCTGAGCACTTCAACGTGTCCCAGTGGCTCACGCAGCAGCTCTGGCGACCAACAGTAAAGCTCCCAGTCTTCTGCTCTGCGATCGCGTCTCCAGGCCCCTGCAAGGTCCACCACCTCGTCAAATGGATTCAGGAAAATATATTGATAGCTGAAAGAATTTGGCATGAAGTCCCCACACATGGTTCGGGAATTGTGTGACCTCATCACCAAGTTCTCCTCCACCACTTTGCCGTGCTCTTTTTTCCCAATCCTCACAATAGCTGTCTTAAAGAAATATATATATATTACAAAAAATTCTTTGCGTGGTGTAAGAAGGAAAAGAAGCTGATCATCAAGACTAAACATTCCAAAGAGCACACCGATTGAGGCCACGAAACTCTTCTCCCTACAAAAATAATATGCTGCATTCTGCAGAATCTAAAAATCGTGGACCCTCTGCAGAGGCCCTTCGAAGCCCTTCACTCCCCAAGCTGCCTCCGGCAGCCCTTCATCACCCCCAAAGCCCCAGGCAGCCAGCGCTGTGCGCCGCTGCTCAGCTGCCAGCAGTAGGGCACCTCCGAGTGTCATCGACTCTAGCGGTCAACTGACTTCTGAAGACAGATGTTCGGTACCCCGCTCAGAAAATATTGTATATCAAGCAGGTGATATTTCACCAATGTGTTGGAGTCGGAGACGCAACAAGTCGCGGTCCAAGGTGCAAGGTCGAAACCGATTGCCGCCAGCGGCTCGTTGCAACTCAACAGAAGAATTCATCGCTCAACGCCACCGAAGCAACCGTAACTTGCGAACATCACACCGCGAATCCACAAGCGACTTCTCCTAAAGTCGGAGCCAGCCACATTCAGTCTGTGCAGAACCAGAAACGTGACAACCAGAATCCACACCGAGCTCCCAAAATGCAGATCAGACCCAGGCCTTCATCCGCATGGTAGGGCTCCACCAAGACTTGGTCTTGCTCGGTGCCCTGGAGGCCCATCAGAAAGCCTTGCAGAAAGGCTAAAGAGACCCATCAGCAAGGACCAGTGATTGGAGGCTCTCTACATTTTGATGAGCTTCCTCTGACAAGTTTCTCATGTCTGGGTTGACATGTTACCATGTCCAGATCAGGTAAAAAGGGCTTCCACGCCTAGATCCGCCGAGGCGGGGCTTTGCGGTCTCAGACCGCCCTTCAGTCCAGTGAACGCGAAGATCCGCTTCGCGCGGACCTGCACTGCTCCGTGGATTGAAAACAAAATAGAACTACAGTCCACCAGGCTTCACTATCTTGATGTGAGAACCTGAAGGCATGTGTTCTTTTCCAAGCTTCCTCCACACCAAGCAGCAGTTATCAGCCCAGTTAGTTTGTTCTTCTCAAAATTCATCCCTTGCCTGCACTCCTCGCCGCAGCAAGGCACCAGAAGTACACCTGGGACAAAGAACAGCAAAATGCTATCAGGTCCGATTCAAGTCTCATGTTCAATTGAACAAAGACGCCCTTGGCCCTTGTCCTTAGCTTGGACCTTGTGCTTAAGAAGTCAGGCGGTCTGTCCATTCCACCAGCTACCCTATAAAGGCCCACATATACTTGGGAGGCAGCCGTCCATTCCAAATGGAACTGCCTTCGAAACCTTCGCGTGGCGTTCTGATGACCCTCAACCTGATATCAAAAACAACGGAACCCAACCGAACTTTCCACGCCGAAACAGCATCGAACTCGTTCCAAAACTCTCCTCACCGAGTGACATTACAAGCGCTGACAAAGGCCCCCAGGGACCCTGTGACCCTGGCATGACTGTGTCAGAGTGTTGACTGAGGCTGACACGGTCTTCACTTGAAAATTCTCCCACTTCTTTATATACTGCATTTCTTGTGCTCTGGCCACACCTCTTCCACACAGACCACTGCCCTGGCACCAACTCTGCGCGCCACTCACAATTCGGATCCTGCTTTGTGTCAGATGCTTGGCATGTTCTTGATCTTCCCGGTCTCCAACAAAACTTTCTAACTGTGCTGTCTCCTGGCTGGCAGCATATTGGCCATGCTGCTCCAGGCCTTGCCAGGGTGTGCACTTTGAGGCCTGCGTGCCAGGCTTGCCATGCTCCAACGGAGTTAAGTAACCATGCCAAAGTATCAACTGCGGAAGCATGTCTCCAGGCTGAACCTATGTAACCCAATGGAAAGCGATGTGCTTCAAAAAGGAACGAGACAGAAACCTGCAGTTTTTGTCAGGTTTTCCTGTACCCGTGGGACTCTTTTTTAACCATAGCCATAGCTATATCGCTGTGAAGAGAAGCGCTTACATCACTTCGTCAGCCTGAGCCAAATGTTGAGAGGTGGCTGACTAAGAGGTTTGATAGTGCGCAGGTCAAGATGATCTTCGAATTGCCCTCTCTCTCTCTTGAAAGAGCTATGGGATGTCTACCATCACTTAAGCATTATGAAGAAAGAAACAAGGATGGAGGCTATGAGATTCATCTGCCAATCCACAGAAATGCACAGCTGTCCTGTACCTGCTAATGTATATATATATATAGCTTCATACACGCTGCTCTTTTAGATCACAAATCAACATCATCTCCATTTTCGTGTGGCCCCTCTCACATCTCTTCGCGCTTGGTCGCAGGCCTTGCGTTTGCACATGATCGCAGAGCTTAATATCCTTATGTCTCCGTGTCATGAACAGGCCTGGGCATCAACAAACAAGGAATCCGATGGCACAACAGGTATCTGGGATTATCTGAGTCATTTGCTCAGCATCGGTAGCGATCTTTCTGCTCTTTCTGGCATGATCATACTACTGAAAAATGAAAATGCCAGAAACCTCACCGTCTCCAAACACCCTCTTTTCGCCATCGTTCGCCTCTTTTTGGCTTCACCGTTTCATCGTTCGCCCATCCGGTCTTCACCGCGACCCCTGACGACGTGCGTCGTCTCGTCGTCGCCTCACTTCGGAACGATGCGCAGAAATCTCATCACACACCGGGCGACCTTGTCCAGAGGATTGGGCCTCAGATTGGACAAAAGGATTGGGCCTCAGAGAGTTTTGCCAGGTATTTTGGAGGATCCATTCTCAAGCGATCTGGGTGAACTGGATAGATTCTGGGGGCTCCCAGCGAATACGAAGCCCTCTTGTGATGGCAGTAGTCCAAAAAGATCTCCTTCCACTCGTGTGAGTTCGTGATCTTCCCGATGTAGATACCTTGAGCATGCGTCAAACATGCGTCAAGAATAGCAAGCAACATGATCGTCGGCTTAACCGCAGTTCACCAGTCAAGACCAAGACTTGGGCGTCACTTGGACAAGTGCAACCTCTTTCTACCATCTCTGCTGGCTGAACTCAAAGCTCCGGACGATGGAGCGTGTCGCCACAAAAATGGGCAAAAAAATGATATGGCAGGCTTGGTTGCTTGGTTGGTTCCTTCTGTTTGACTGCTTGAAAGGCCATCAAGAGTGCAGGTACCCGCTGACCCGGCTTGGCAGAGGCACCGAAGAAGAGAGAGGATGTGCCAACCAAGGTGAAGGATGGCCAGAACCAGGTGTTCACATAGGGCACCTCAGCACTCTGACAACCTCCTTACGGAGGCACAGGGCTTGTGCCAGGCAGTGGATCCGCTGAGGCAACAGCCAGGCTGTCCTTGGCCATGATCGGCCGTGCCTGGATCAAACGATTTCAACAGCCAAACTGGAAGTGTTGGATGCCTACTCAGCCACAAGCCTGTACGTGAGGTGGATTATGAACTCTGCGCTCCAAACTCTTTCAACCAGTGTCCAAGGCCCAAGGCCGTCTATATTGGCTCCACAAAAGGCAAAAAGGGGTCAGGTCTTCTCCCGCCTTGCCAGTGGCTGGGGACCAGAAATTGAACCAAAAAGTCCGCTCTTGGCAAAGAATGAGAGCTCTGGTGCTGTGATGTGAGTCAGGGATTCTCTTCGATCTGCGGTCTGCGCTCGATCTGCGGGTGTGGAGAACACGTTCTTTGATACTCCTTCGTGATTCGTCAACAATCATGTTCTGTACAAAAGGATGCAAAAGGCTCAAACCAACCTCTTAACTCAAGCAGTCTTGACTTCAAGTTCATGAGAACAGTTATTGCCAGTTGCTGTCTCTTTGAATCCGTGGATCTCTCCCTGTCTATTTCTGAAGTTCTCAGATCGCAAAGCTATCTTTTCGCTGATGCGGCTCGTTCGTAGGGTACGCCCCTTGGATTTAAAGCTAAACCATGCTGGGCCGCATGTCCGGCTCACTTCGGGGCAATGCGCAGCAAGTTCAACACAGCACGTGCCACCTTGTCCAAAGGGTTCGGCCTTCAGCAAATCGACCCTGCTAAGTGTTCATCTTAGTTCCCATTCGAGGTGACACATTTTGCAACCCAAAACACAGCTCAACAGTCCAGAGACCATGGCTGTGCTGCCAGAAGAATCAACGTCTCAAAGTAAGGTCCCAGCGAATACGAAGTCCTCTTGTGATGGCAGTAGTCCAAAAAGATCTCCTTCCACTCGTGTGAGTTCGTGATCTTCCCGATGTAGATACCTTGAGCATGCGTCAAACATGCGTCAAGAATAGCAAGCAACATGATCGTCGGCTTAACCGCAGTTCACCAGTCAAGACCAAGACTTGGGCGTCACTTGGACAAGTGCAACCTCTTTCTACCATCTCTGCTGGCTGAACTCAAAGCTCCGGACGATGGAGCGTGTCGCCACAAAAATGGGCAAAAAATGATATGGCAGGCTTGGTTGCTTGGTTGGTTCCTTCTGTTTGACTGCTTGAAAGGCCATCAAGAGTGCAGGTACCCGCTGACCCGGCTTGGCAGAGGCACCGAAGAAGAGAGAGGATGTGCCAACCAAGGTGAAGGATGGCCAGAACCAGGTGTTCACATAGGGCACCTCAGCGACATGGTCAATGGTCAAACGAAGAAAACTTGCATTGCTGGGGGTACACAAAGACCACCAACAGAATCATTGTCAAATCGCTGATCTTGTAATGATTCACAAGTAAAATATCCTGACCTCATCTGACCTTAAGACCCTTCGGATATCTTGTCTGGGCCTGTTGACCTACTCGCAACTTGGGTTTGGGATATGATTGGAACTTGTATTTCTGTGTTGTTCGATCTTTGCAACAAAAGTCAAAAGAGAAACAGCAATGGAATGTCGCATAGGGTATAGACGTAGGAATATGTCTATACTTGATTGAATCTGCAAAGTGGCTGTGAAACAACAGAGCAAAGCTCTATAGACTCTACAGCAAAACAAACAGTGCTGCGTCGGTAGTGGTTTTTTTGAGTCAAAGCAAGGGCTGCTGGCAAGGATGCATGGAGAACTGGCTAAGAGAGGTCAAGCTGCCAAATCAGCCTTTGCCATGCTGCCTCCGTGAATCATGGAGGATCAACGGTGCTATGCGGCCACAATTCACTGAAGATTTGGCAGGGCTTCGTCACATCCACTGGGCAAAGAGGCACATCTAGTAACTTTACAGAATGCTTGGACACTGTCGGAGGGTCCAGCCTCGACTGCTAGTGCTCCCGAACCGATAGGAAGCGCTGATCCAAACTGCGGCATGCCAAGATTGCCAAATTCACGCGGGGAATCGCTGAAAAGTGTGAAGGCTGCTTGACAGCCAAACCAAGTTGTGAAGCTCTGTGATGCTTGTGATCTGTGAACCATGACATGCCGCCGCAGACTGTGCAAATACTTCCAAATACTTCAGCACTGCCCCTGGACCTTTTTCTCTCTCCTCCGAGCTGAGACAGTAAAGCCCCTGAGTTTGATCCAAAGAATTCATAATTCATTGAATTTGGCCTAGGCTTGCTCTGCCATTGCCACGCTTGGGAGCAAGCACTTGAGTGCCTCTGTTCCAATAGAACAACGGGGGTGCAAATGGCAATATAACCGCACCTTTTCTCCTGCGACAGAGTGCCAGTGCTGGACTTTATTACTTCAGAATGGCATCTTTCAAACACACGCAGAACCAATTGCTACCTGAAGCCAGCAAAGTGCCCAAGTGCCCAGTGCTTGGGGTGCATCTTGCTCTCAAATTGCTCACTGAACAACCCTCACGAGGCGTGAAGGAGATTGGCGGAACTGGCGCAGAAAGGACCAAGGCGTGCGCGGAATAGATCGAATGCTTTGCTGATGAGACCGAAAGAGCAATGAAAGTGCCAAGTGAGCCAGGCTACGAGGACATTCGGAAGAACAGATTTCCCTTCCAATTTCCTACAGTCCTACAGTATGGAATCAAGACGGTACAAAAAAATATTGCGCTTCATGGTAGACTGCAGGCATGTTTGCTGGTCAGCGACAAAAACCAGGCTGATGAAATCACCCCCAGCAAGTGACGCCTCAGGCATCGTCTGATAGGCCTGGATGTCAGGGCGTAACATCTCTTCCCAGCGGACGAGATGCTCCAACTGCAAGTCTCGCACCCACCAGGCACATCGGATAGTATGTTAAGATATGTTAACCCACTGCTATAGGTACGGGGACTTGGCCAGAACGAACGTGTCACAGGAAGTGTTCCCCGCCTTCTGCCCACCATCGTACTCCGGTGAGGGGCGCTCCTGGATTTGAAATGGCAAGACATGAACCCTTCGAAGGGCAGGTCAAGAACAGTACGAATCGAATCCCGGGCAGATCAAGAACAGTACGAATCGAATCCCGCAACCCTTTGATTTCAACTCGAATAAATGCTTCCTCAAGAATTGGTCGATCTGCCAAGGCTGAAAAAGCACTTCACTAATCTGAATGGAATTGCATCAAGACAGGATAAGCGAAACCGAGCTTTCCCGTGAACGCAAATCTTCACCTGCATCGATGCCACGCGCGGCGCGGGTTGAAACCTCAGGGCATGCGCATGCGCCGCATGGAGCCAAAACGTCTTGGTTTTTGCGCGCCATGTGAGGCACCCCACTGAGGTGCATTGAAAGACCGCCCCAAGGCGCTCTTCAGATGCGGTAGCAGCTCTGCCTAGAGAAACTGCGCCGACGCTGCTCGACAGGTCTAGGCCAGGTGTCTGAAAAAGCGCTTTCAAATGTGCCAGTGCAGAAGAGGATTCTAGGCCCAGCACGCTGGCAGTTTATGGGACTAGTTGTTTGGGCCAGAGCAACATGCTTGATGACATCAGGAGGGAAGCTTCTACCTAGGCTTAGGTGCTGCTAAGACACATTGTATTGGCTCCTGGAGCAGGAGACTCAAACCATTTGCAAAAACGAAGTCATGTTGTTGGGTGTCATGCGGCCCGTGACATGTGTGCAAGCACGCTGCACACGCATCTCCTGTATAACTACAAGTAAGCTCAAACGGCTTGAAGTCTCCTAACCAGCTTGGAATACTTTGACGTGATGTATAGCGCTGTCAGCTTGAACCTGGGAAACATATCCCAGTCTGGCAAAAGGAACAACTCAAGCTTCACTTCACTTCTGGCGACAAAGTGAACGAAAGAAATGCACTTAGATAAAAATAAACTGTCTTCCTTTTTGAACACCTGGGTGATTTTTCCTCGATCAATCTGCACAATCCTAACAATTTCACATAGGTTAAATGTCAAGGTCATCGTTAACACTGATGGTTTATACATGCACTGCAAGGTGGCTCAATGTACAACTGGGCGCAACAGCAAAGCTGCATCAGTAAATGAAGGCCAAAACAATGCATCTCTGCTGAAGCTGCGTCGTGGGAAGATCTCTACCCAACTGTCAGGCTGCGCTTGTCAGCTGAGCTCCCCGCACAACGCTGCCAGCGACGAAAATCGCAAAGGGCAGGGCACTCAGCCAAGCCCAAATGAAGGCGAAAAGGAAGGCGATGTCCACCGAAATGGAAGCCACCTCGAAGTTCACAAGTCGAGAGTTCAGGCGCATGGACCGTGCTGAAGAGTTCTTGAGGGCCTTCCCCTCTCAGACATAGCAAAACTGCTGACATACTAGGTAGGATCTATGACTGAGACCAAGCCCACTTGGTGCCTGCAACACTATCTGAAGGGTTTTTTCTAGCCAAAGCCTCGCCGCTTAGCCTATCATTTGCTGAAAACCTTCAGCCAACCGCGTGGTGTAGGTGACTACGTGCGCCCCAACCCATGGCATATCAACCCCCGAGGTTCCAGCAAGAAAGTAATAGTACAAGTTCCTGAGCTTGTGTTGTGACAATGCTTCGTATGCTACGATGAAAGCATGGCTATGGTTGGTTGCTTCGCACAGAGCAAATGAACTAATAAGTGGATGCCATGATGACCTTGTGCAATGTGAGTGAAACTCCAAGTCTCAAATGGCTCTCCAACATGTAGACTGCTCCGATGTAGGCCTACACAGCGCTTCTCACTGGACAGGCGAAAGAGAGATAGAGATAAAGAGAGATAGGGAATAATAACAAATATACAACTGCCATCTCCCAGTCCATTGACAAGCAACCTATTCTGAGCTGAGAAACCATAGAAAACCATCAACACCTCTGTCTTTTCCCGTTTGCCTGCACAATGAAGAAGACCTCAGCCCAGGCAATCCATGCAACAACCTATTGAACATCTTATACTTGTCCCAGCACAGATCTCTGTAGAATGGGGCCTTGAATAGGAGGGACAATGGAAAACGGGAATACCCCATTCAAGATATCAAGATGCATCCTGATTGTGAAAAGCCTCTCAAGGCCCCCGTCGCACCGTCACCCGTCCCTCGCACACCGTCAGGGCCAAGGGGCGCTGGCAAGGCAAAAGGCCATCTGGCTCCACTGCAATGGCTGAGAAAGGGTAAAGCCCTCGACCACCCGGAAGGGCTCATCTCCTGGCAAGAACCAAAACAGAATAAATGGAGCGGAGTCTGGAGGAGATGAGAGTGTGCAAGTCGTGCATCAATCTCTTTTTTGCAAGGCAATTGAGAAGTACCTTTCGAGTTCTTTGGAAACTCCAAGAATAACAAACATTGGTTATCCGTCCGCAAAAACTCTCCGAGCCTGGTAGCTTCGAGAGAATCAAGAGGCATTCAGCAAAGTGCACTGCCAGCACAACATAGATCTCAGGGCCACATGAAGCATCGACCGCGTTTTTTCCAGGCCGGCAACTGTGACACTCAATCCTAGTCAAAAAATGACAAAACCAGGGGGGTCACAGCAGGTGATGCATAGATGCTACAACGCAATCCCAAAAACAAATAGTGCGCCCTTGCCTACTTAACTAAGTGAGTAAACAAGCTGCTCTGCTAGCTGCTAGCTACTATGACGCTACTACCTACCCGAAGCAGGATAGGCCACGCACTAATGATTTGGTTCCTAGATTTTAGGGAAACCTTACTTTCTTGATACAACACAATGCTGCAATTCAACGGAAGTGTATCAGCAGTCGAGTCCAGAGAGGTTTCCTTGAGACAAAGGCCAAGATCATCACCACCCAGATCGGATCTAAGAAACACAAACACCGGACAATCACCTGAGGACACAGCTTCAAGGACATATGTGGCTTAGAATAGCTCGGTTCAATGACAAAGGAGCTTTTCAAGACGGATCTTCATGTGCCCACTTTGATTGAATGGCTACTGGAAGGTTGGCACCCAAAAATATGCTGTGCATGTTGTTTCGAGCTTGGCAGGGCTTTGGTACTCTGGGATCCAGCAGGACAGCCATTGGGAAAAGGATCAGGCCTTGGATATTGAACGTCCTATCTGTGCAAGGTGCATTCAAACTCTTTCTTTTGCCTTATCATCCCTGCTTGAGCAACTCTGTAAAAAGCATTGGTCGGTAAAATAATCTGGGCTGCCATACCCAAAAGGAGCTCCTGAAAAAAAGGATTCTTTGCATGCAGGAACTCCAAAGGTTATGTGCAAGTCAAAGCCGCTTTCAGAGCCTTTCAGAGCCTTTCAGCAGGTCTCCTGGTCACCAGAGTTCTGAAGTCATCCAATGCCATGGCTCTTTTTTCTGGTTCGCTACCTCAAAGGCAAGGGAAGCGTCACTGGGTATATAACAACGATGGAGGTGACATGTCAGAAGTCAAAACAAAGAACGTAGCAGCAGGTACTTGTAGAGTCCCCTCTCGCAAACATTCAAGCAGAAAACTCTGGCTCGCAACAAACTAGCCTTACCAAGGCGGGCCTGTTTTCATTTCCATGTTCGTGAGTCCAGGTATATATATATATGTCTATGCAGTGAGGAACAACACCTTGCCAAGGAAGCTAAAATGAAAGCCTCTAGAAAAGCCTTTTGACAAATCACTCCTTTTTGAAGAATAATGTTTCGAGGAAGCACAGGTACTGAGGGAAACAACCCAGTGCAGTTGAGTGATCTTTCAGCATCTATCTCTTTGGCCCACACATACAAATCAAGCCTTTCTGGCTTGCATCCAAGCATCGCGAAGAGGGTGGGCGTGGGCTTGGCCATGGGGCTTGAGCCAAACCCTGAAGGCATGCAAACAAAGCCTTGCCACGGGGTTATCAAAAACCCACTGCCTGTGCCTTGCCAAACAAAATGATCTCATACTGACAATCAAGCAGCATGACGATCTGGAATTCATGGCTATTTGCCCTGGAAAATTCGCTGTTTCATCGGTCTGTCTCATTCTGGTGCACCACTGGGATCCTTTTGGTTGACAACGCGTGTCAGCGACGAGATCGTCATGGCTCCATTAAAGGCTCTTGATTGCCTCGGCCACTTGTCAAAAGGCTCCAAAAAATTGTCAAAAACTGACAGAAACACAGCTCAGCTGGGGAAGACAAGAATTCAAGTTTCACTTTCCAGCACAACATGAGGTTTCTCCCATATGCTATCCGTACTTCATCCAGGCGTCAAACATATCGAATCTTTTCAGCACCGGAACCGTTGATTTGGCGACGTCTCCACCGTACAAACATCCCCCGTCCTGACCATCCTGCAACCATAGCGGCACTTGGCGTCAAGCTCCAGCAGCATGGCCTGGGCCTCATGCAGTGACACCTGCGCCCTCCGCGTGCATTCGGCAGCCTCCTGACTGCCGGTGCTGCGGAGTCTCGGAGTCTGTGGAAGGGACGAAGAGTTCGATGCCGCATGTGTTTTTTCTACTTTCAGTGCGTGTTTCTCTCAAATCCGCACTGAAGCTGCACAGCTGCACCTGAAACCAGCTCTGCAAGGCCGCAGGGTCGTCACTCTCTATGGCGCAGAAGCTGGGCTTGGTCGGTCCAGGCATCAGCAGCTGCTGCTCAGGGGTCAAGGTCAAGGCACCTGAGGTCGTTGGACATCGGCATCATCTATATACTTAGCCATCTTCTTCGCCTTTGAGATCCCGTGAGCATCCGATTCAATTCTCTTTCCCTCGGGTCACCCGATTCGGTGGGTCACGAAACTGGTCCTCGAAGTATTTGAACAAAGGCCGAGGCAGGAAATGTGGCCATGCTTCAGCAAGAAAGCAGTGGATTCCATGGTGCTGTGCTGACCAAAGCACTGATTAGCATCAACAGGGCAGCCCTTTGCTGCTCCAACACCGGCACCACCTCGAAGGCCAAGTGTCAAAGACTCTACTACACTGAAACACTTTCCGCCCTGCTCAAAACTTGTTCAATGACTTCCACACTTGGCAACACCACCGGTGAGACGAGTAACCCGGCAAACATCTTCTCAACCGACACAGCTGATCTTCGCCAAGGAACTGCAAAGCTCGTGGCAGGCAGGGCCTCACCGCTGTGCCTCGATGTGACGGCTGTCGTGCAGCGAAGGCTACTAGTAGCTTCTTGTTACTAGTAACCAGTAGTACTGCCCTTGTTACCAGTAGCGATGCACTTGTTACTATGCCCCGCATGCCCCGCATGCCCCGCATGCCCCGCATGCCCCGCATGCTGTCAGTTGAACATAGCCTACAGGGTTGTCCCGCTCTGCCTGACAGACCGGTCCAGCGCAGAGTAGAGAGAGTATGCCACAGTGGCTGCCTCCAAATACTCCTGAGGCACTTCTTTGCATTCATGAACAGAAAATAATTGGGCCAGTGACATGTTGATGTCACTATTTCCCAACAAATTGAAAACTTATATATCAACAAGAGTGGAGCCCTGCCGGTCCTGGTCGCTAAAGTAAAGTGCGTAGAGCTGCTGATAGCAGGCCAAAGCATTCGTACCAGCCACAGGAGTACCTATCCCAGCATTCCTTGGCAGCAACCACTGAGAGTACGCATCTCCCATCTTCGAGCAGATCTTCTATATAACTGCAATCCCAGGCTCCCATGAAGCTTCTCAAGCAGCTGCTCTCGGCTTCTCCGCGCATCCATGGCTCTCGGCGCCAACTTGGGTCCCTTGATGTGAAAAGGTCAGCCTAGTAGCTATTTGCTCCTAGTAGTAAGGCCAGGAGCCCCTAGTAGCGTCCTTGCTCCTAGTAGCGATGCCCTTGTTACTAGTAGCTATTTGCTCCTAGTAGTAATTGCCCTTATTACTAGTAGCGATGCCCTTGTTCCTAGTAACTTTATCTCAGGGGTCACATGCCCAATGTCGTCTTCCTTTCGTGCTTTGATCAGATTTGCAATTCGCTCCTTTGTGCCTTTGTACTTACAATGCATTTCATGACCTCTCAATGTCTCATTGCAGCTATCATGCTAAGGCCATGGCAGAATACATGTAGTGGGTCGTTACACGCCGCCATTGCAACCCTAACTCACCTATCCTTGCGGTCTAGCTTTCAAGCTTCACACACGCAAGTATCACCTTTTGATCACATCACAACTGGTAACATCCTGAAACACAGACGAGAGGCATGACCTCATTGGAAGAGAGCTATTCAGGGCTCGCCTTCAAGAAGTAAGAAGCTTTGGTGAGAAATAGAACTAAAAATTGTCCTTCAGGTCATGTAACTACAAAGTAGGTGGCTGATCCCTGCAGCTCCTCCTGAGATCAGGAACTCTTTAAGTTGTAAACATCAGAGGAGCTCTCCTCGTCTGACGAGGTGGGTTTTGGCCCTCCGATGAGAGGCCTGACAGAAGTTACAGGGCAACGGTTGGGTGGCCCTCAGGGATGGCTTGGATTTCCAGGGCAAACAGCTTTTGTCGTCTGGAGTGCCTGCTGTCAGTACTGGCTAACTGATGTCCTGAACAAGCCACCTTTGAGGGACAAAGCTTGCTTCACTGGAAAAGCAGTTGCTGCATTTCCACGGCGCAGTTGCACCGCATTAGTTTCTTTGGATACACTTGGCTGCAGGAAACTCGCACATTCGCTTCTGGCCTGTGCAGATCTTGGGACCATACGTCGGCCTTTTAGCCGCAGACCCCAAGCCCATGAAGGCCAGAAAGCAAGGCCAAGTGGACTAATTCTACGAAGGGACGTGGCCTAATTGTCGTGGGTCCAAGGTCAACAGGAACACCATATTCTGAGTTGACTCTCTTGTACAATGTTTTTTCCACTGTAGGATCCTAGGTTCCAGACATCTAACGATGTCCGTGCCCAGTCAAGAAGCTAGACCGAGCCTTTCGGTATTCCTTCAATATCAAACGAACACGGACGCGTTTTTCGGGATCGGATTCCTGGATGAAAAATGCCTTCGTCACAGGGAACACATTCGTCGCATAGCACTTCTTCGATGATCGAATTGGACAGAAACAAGATGTCGAATACACCCGGACCCATGCACCATCGACCCACCACTGGCGGATCCCCAGTATTTCGCACGCCGAGATTGACGCTCTCTCCCATCGGAGTACGTCGTACACATTTGGCGGATGAATCTGCTGAGCACATTTGGCGGACTGGTGATTAATCTGAATGCATTTTTGAAATATGCTGCCTGTTGCCTGTTGCGTAGCCTTCCACTGCAGTTTGCAACACCGCGGCCTTACGAGTCCCCGAGAATTATCATAGAGTGATCTACCAAAGACCACCTGTGAGCTGGTACCTGTGCTCCTTCTTGCCTGTGAGCTTACAAAAGTATGACGCAGGACTTGATGTGAGAAGACCTCGAGGCATTTCTCTTTCCTTCTGTATACCAAACATCAAAGTGAGCAGCTACGATCCGGGTCTATCCCTCTTCGTTCTCTCCGACGGGCCGAAAAGCCGAAACCTTTCAGAGATCCAAGCTGAATCTTCTCTCCAGCTGGCCCATCACGGCGACATCTCTTGGTGGTTGTCACCACCGAAAGAGCCATTTACTTCAGCGACGTCCAGAGCCAGTTCGAGCCAGGATGTATACTCTGCCCCGAGTTTGATCGATCTGAGACTTGGAAACAAAATATCCGGAGTGCCACTGCTGCAAAAATCCTGGTGCCCATCCTCGAGAGACAGCGGAAACTGAAACATCCTCAAGATGGCTCGTTGAGGCGGCTTGTGTAGATTCCGAAAGAACAATGACCAACATGACCAAAGGGCCAACTAAGAAGCTTCCTACTTGAAACAAACAAAGAGGCAACATTGAAAAAGCAATGTTTCTGCGAGAACTGTGCTTCAGGGACGATGACGGTGTTGTGTCATTCTGTTTCAAGGCCACCAGTGGCTCTCAAGTCCACATCATCCGGTTGGCCTTATAACACAAGCTGCACCCGCAACAGCCGGAATGTATTCGTTCTGCCGCTTGGAACCGGCGACGCCACAGCGTTGCAACACTCAAATGGAATCTTTATCGAGAGCAGCCCGAGACTCGAGAAAAGAAAAGCTGATTGGCCCCAACTGGACCAACCGAGGTATGGCCTGATTGAAGAAAAGTGAGGATACATCGGATATGATGCATTCCTCACGCCCCAAAGCCAGAATCACTGAAAATTAAAGCTTGCATTGAGGTAAAGTGAACTCAGACTTAACTCTTACCTATCAAGCGTTTCTTCAGTACAGGTGGAACAGAACTGCATACATAATTATATAATAGTTGATTGATGTTGATTGGCCAATCCCTCCATACTCTCCGAGGCCTTCTTTCTTTTCCCCCGGGCTGCTCACTCCAGGTCACGCTGCCACGCACCTTGACAGGGAACATCGCTTGGGAGAAATCACCTAGCACCTGAACGTCACATCTGTTTGCACATTTTTAGTGCAATACCTATCCTGTCTGTGGAGTTTTGCTGCTCCACGACCCCCCAGGATCATTCGGAGTTGGTTTCGGCGTTCTTTGAGAAGTAACTGGGATGCCATGAAATTAGATTTCACCGGACAACCATCTGAAGGGGTTGTATGTTCATTCACATAGAGCCAAAGACTTTGAAAAAAAAAAACGTTTGAGCAAGCCAGTCTACGCAACCGTTCATAATCTCAAGCCTGATAAAACAGCTCAAGCAGTTGAGGCATTATGGTGCTGAAGCTCATTTTGACTTGCATTTGAGACTCCAAGTCTGGTTCAATGTCTCTACCTTAAATGCAGAATCTTGTTGGTGACAAGCTGGCAAAGGCTATGTAGGATCTAGATCAAACGACTATGACTACGAAACGTTTCTACTCATGACGTGAAAAATCCAAGAAGAACATCTCACCGAGCGTATAGTCTTCCCTGTCGCCTTGAAGCGTAATGAGATCCCTCAGAGCGCCACACTGAAAAGCCTGCAAGCACTGCAAGCACGAATGGGCAGCCCCACACAGGAAACTTCAAAGCACAAAAGATTCTAGCCAAAAGCATGGACAGAGGTCATGAAAGGTGTCCAATCCGCCGGCCTGCCAGCGTGCTTGATGGATGTTGTTGTACTTGTATTCTTGTTTGCTCTCTCCTAGCACTTATGTTGTTCATCGTCTACGCTAGATTGCTCCTCCGCGTCATCGTCTTCGCCGTCCTCTTCGTCGCGGCATCGTCTTCGTTGTGGTCCTTGTCCTCCTCCTATCCTGCTCCTCTCTTCGTCGCCTTTGTTTGTGCTTCTGCACGTGTGTCGCCTAAGTGTTTGCCTGCGCTTGGCGTCATTTTTCCATGGTTTCCCTAGCATTTTTGCCATGGCTTTTGCATGGCCCATGACCTTTATATGCCAAGGAAACTTTCTCCTCCGCCAGGCTTGTACACAAACAGGTTTTTGCACAGACCAACATTTGCGTGAACCCCGGTTTACGTCAACCGCCGTTTGCACTTCCGGCCATGTTGCAAGCATGATGAGCAATGAATGCACAAGCGAATGGAATGAACGTAGTCATTCAGTGCTCAAACCATGGAAAAGACCTCCGCAACTAGTATATAACTAGACTGCAAAGCTCTCTCCCGGCTGAAGGCCTAAAGCGCTTTTCACCTTCTTCCCCGTCCTGCAAGGTATTGCTTTGCAAAGCTGACAAACGTTGTGCTTGCAAGACTTATCTGATCCCTTTGCGATCAGCCAGGTTCCCTGACAAAAACTAATTAAGGTGTCTTGACGCAAGAGCCTATCCATGCACCAACTCTGCCTCTGAAGCTGATGTGGAAGCAAAGCTGGCCGCTGCGCCCTGTCAGCATGGCTCCAGCAGTCTTAAGCCACGGAAAGAATGTCTGGTTCGTTCAATACTCAACTCACAAGGCTCTGCAGGGGAGCCTCCAAATGAGAGGCAACAGATTTTGCCAGCATGGCGAGTGGAGCACCGTTGCCTTGGTTTTGTGCAGCAGCCACGGTATAAGAAATTATCTGAACAGGATACTGGATCGTACGTCGTATGACAAGGGTTACCAAGCTTGCTGACGTACACCAAAGACCCATGTTGCTTCCTGCACTAGTGTTCCCTTGAGGATAACAGCATTCAACAACAACTCAACAAGCTACAGCGGCTTTACGCAGTGCAGAGTCTTTTAAAAACAAACAAAGGCTTTCTTCATTATAGACTATAGACTGACTATGCAATGTAACCAGAACTCTTTGGATTTCAACGGTTGCTGATGATTTGCAATAGTGATCAATCTGCAGTCTTAGGAGTTTCATTAGCACTCTCTAGCTGCCTCTAGCTTCGTGGGGGGACCCTTCAGAACCTCTCCAACAATCTCCGACTCCGTCCAAGCTCCCCTGCTGCGGTGAAGAGTATAAAGACCCACAGCAAAGGAAAGAAGTGACATTCCATCCTGTCGGCTTCCACTCGCAGCTGTGACTCATGGCCAAATACTCATTTTCGTTCCAGTACTCGTGAGTCATGTGTGTCTAAGTTCACATCACTGTCTCCTCCAGAGCCATGGCCACAGCCCAGTGCAGCTGATCACAGGACTCGCGCAGCAAAAGGCGAATCCTTTGCGAGTGAAAGGGAATCCGAGGCCTCTTAGGTTTACACGTCCAGCTTTGCCCATTGGTGCACTGGCTCTGCTGCTTTTCGCTGCCGGCTATTCTTTGCAGAAGCACAAAATCAGAAAAACTGAGTCTTGAGTTTGAGACATTGCATGTAGGGTGATGTACTGGGCAACCCAACGTGACAACAGTCGCCAGGTAGCATCCCAAAATGATCCTGGCAGCAAGCTAATCTGTCTTGGAGATGTTCCAACCACCGAAGCTCGTGTCTGATAATATTAGAAACATATATATATATAATTATATTAGAAGACCAGCAGATTTGCTTTGTGCATGAGACTTGGATCAAGACCTGTTCCCTCACCCACCTCATTTTACGGCAGCTCCCTTTGCATCAGACACCTTGGTTCCAGTCGCGGGTGCGACCCCTTTTAGCGTCAAGAGAGCGAAGACTTCGCCAAAGAAGGCAAGATCGGAGACCTGCAAGTTGTTCCTTTGTTCTTTAAGACCATGTGGCAGTAGAAGATTTGAGGAATTCCAAAGCAATCGACGACATAACTCGAACATTCTGGGCTCAACGGCCCCACCGATCAATATTGTGCAGTCAAGTCGAGGAGATCTTTCCTGACAAAGACCGAGTCAAATTCATGAAGGTCTTCGAAATGACAATCATTGCAATTTGAGGTGTCACCCTCCTGAAGGACCGAAAGATTTGTAAATTGTCAAAATTCTTACCTTGAAGTGTGCTTCAGTCTACAACTCGAAAACAATGTCAAGCCCGAAATTTTCACAGTCCTGTGTGAAATCTCCCATCTGAGGCTCCGCACGACCAGCTGCGAGAATATGAAGCCGCGAAACCTGGATACTAAAGTTGAGGCAGCTTGAAATGATTTTGTGGATAAGTTTTCCACTGGGTATTGTTTGCCCACCCGCCACCCCAGAACACATGAAGCAGCATCTTGTGAATTCCAAGTGCAATCATGCTGCAAAGAGCATGGTTGTTGGATGAGGCTTGTACAGTTTGGTCACCAAACGTGGAAATTATGGGTTTCGATTGGACAAATTGTTCTTCAAGGTAAGATATAAATTCAATAACTGACGCAAACTCCATTGACAATCAAATCATGACTCCCTGCATTGCGGCGTCCAAATGTCCTGTGAACAAATGTCACCCCTTCCCAACTCTTGCGTTCCAAGAAACGGCAAAAACTAGTAGACAGTAATAAGAATATCGTGAGTGGAGTTGGAGGATCGGGCTGATAACAGCTGCGGTCCAAAGCTCGCAATGGTATTACACTGAACCCTCCAGTTGTATAAACACTCTTTGGTTTATAATGACAAGTGGCGTTAAATGCAAACTGAAGCTCCAAAAAATCCCCAAGGTTGTCAGCATAACACAATAATACGGAGACGTGACAAGTCTGGTATGAGGCCAAGTCTATTTTCGTTATGTCTCTTTTGAAAAACAATACAACCAATTTCTTGAAATCAGTTCCAAAAACTAAAACCAAATGAACTTTGTGAACAGAACATGATTGTTCGATGCCACGCTTCATAAGTTTTTCATAATTTGTCAATATTCAAAAAGAGCATGCTTTTCTCGATGTTTACAAAAAGAGAAGACGTCTTATGAAAATTCTATGAAAAGTTGTATGACATTTTTAATGATGGCAAGACTGCTTGTACTTAGTTCTTTACGTTGGAATGTAGAAGTTTTTGTGAAAAATAGAACAATTTACATTTCTGTGAAACCCAGCGTAACGGTTTCTTTTTAAGAAACCTTGAAAAAACATGTTGAAGTTACTTGCACCAACTTGCTGGGCCTCACTTTTTTGCAGGGGGTCGAGAGAGAGAGAAAGAGAGAGAGAGAGAGAGAAAAAAATAGAAAGAATGTGTGTGTGTGGACTGGAACCAATTTGCCCATCCAGTCCAACGAAGCTGTGGCATTTCGGTGGATGAGTGGTCTGATCAACTTGTACATGCATCGAACACAATCTCCACTGGTCCTCCCTGCCGCAGTCTTCTTGTTTGCATGGTGTGTTTTTCAGCCACTTCCCTACAAACCCTTTCGACCAGCAGCCGCTTTGCAGCAAAGATTCTGCCTGAAACCATTGCGTCAAAACACTTTCAGCTCAGCTGACCCAGCGATCTTGTGGTTTGTGCATCCTTTTTCCAGGTTCTCTCACTGAATGACACCTGTCGAAAGGTGCATTGCTGCGCGTTCCCACTTGACCATGTGGATTGTGACCAACCGTTCCGCAGCTTTCTAGCGTGGACAATCGCCCTGACATTTGCTTTTCACTGAATCAAGCACATCAATGCCCGGGCCTTCGGACAATTTCTCGCGTCGTCGACCAGTTCCACAAGTTTTGGCTCACGAAGACTTAGCTGCTCTAGGCACAGAAAAACCCACAAACAGTCACAATCGGTTCAAACTGCTCTCAAAGCTTCTCAAAGCTCCTCCACCAATGAAGGACCAAAAACCAAAAACCTGTATTTTCTAGACATTTAAGGCGAGCACAATGCTGATTTCTTCAAAAAAATCAACCTGGAAATGTTGTTGTCCACTGTTTGGTCAAAGAATCATTTTTGTTGGGGCTTGAAGATTTTGCCACTTGAATGTGTCACATGCATTGTTGCTGGTGTGAACTTTGCAGCTGGTAAAACGTCCAATGCACAGCAAGACTTGTGACTGGGATAAACGAAGCTTTCGAAGGTGTCTAACTTGTGGACATTAACTGAAATCCAATCCAAACGAGAAGATGCTCACATTCCACGATGCATCACAAAACCCCAGAACGACCCTTTCTTCAGTGAGAACTGGTGGTGAACTGGGCTGCTTCAACCAGCGAAGAAAGCTACGAAAACAGATTTTGGCAGGAACATGTGGCTTCGACTGAAACGGACTCAAAAATCCAACCGCAAAGACAAAGTCAGCCGTGAAGACCGCTGCCCATGCGAGTCGTCCCAAAACACGACGGTGGCGTTGAGCTTCCGCTGCTCGCAACTCGGGCACGCCAAACCATTTTCAGTATCGTTGAACAACTTCTCCAACTTGGTACAGCTGAACCCATGGACTCTCTCTTCCCATGAAACAAAAAATTGCCTTCCATGCAGCCGCGGGAAACTCCAAAATTCAAACAATCCTCACCGTCACGAAGTCGATAAACGGCTCGTCCAAGAAATTAAAACAAGCCTTTTGCCTTTTTCTTGGCCGGCTGGAATCTGACCTATTCTCTCAATCTTCCAAATGTCCTGCAATTTCCTGAGGAGGAAGCTCGCAAACCAAGCCCCAAAGAAAATCTCCAGTCGTGGAAACGCGAAACAAAATCGATTCGAAAGTTTCACATCCACCAAGGCCAGAGATGGTTCGCTGCAATTCCAAAAACCACAAGACGCTTGCTCAGCTTCCTTGTGTCTGTTCTGGTCGAGCCGTGCGTTCGGGTATGCTTCCCAAGTGGCATGCAGTAGAAGCAAGGTGCGGGAGCCTTGTTCTTTTTTTGGCACGGGTGGAGACGCCATGTGTGCAGAGAATGCACAGGTCATCTTGCACTGCTTGAAGGTGAGTCATCGGCCAGGAAAAGAAAACAGAACCCAACCAAGCAACCAAACTACCAAAAACAAAACAAACAAACAGAACCAGCAAACAACCTGCCAAGACACGACTCAAGCGGGTCATGCAGAGGTGAAACAAGACGAAAGAGGTGAAACAAGGGGCGTCAAATTGAGCAAAACGGCCTCTCAGTGCAAGTTGCGCATGTCTCGACAGTTCAAAGGTCAAGCAGCTGTCTTGCGAAGTGTGGCCCTCGAGGCCCGTGGCGTGAACGGACCGTGTATCAGCCTCAGCTGAGCTGTCTTTTTTTGGTACACCGCTTTGTTTTTCCTTGGCTAGATTGACCGCTTTGTGTTTGCTTGGCTGGTGTTTTTGAGCTCAGCTTGGGCCATGCATCCAAAAGTCTCACAACCACCTCGATCATTTCCGCTCGAACTTGACTCATACCAGGAACACAGATGTGGTCCTTCTTTTTGAGGGTTGCTCCTGTAAGCAATTCACCTGTTTTTTTCTGTTTGCTTCGGACGAGCTCCTGGGATGAATCATCCATAGCCTCCTAGCTCGGGGGTTTACCTTTACCGATGAATCGATCCTATTCAGGCAGTCAAAACAGTGCGAAACTGATAGAGGGTTTGAGTGCGTTGGAGAACTTTGTTGATCTGTCCAGGACCCAGATCAGCGCCATCTACCTTCACACCACGTGAATCTTGCACACATTTGGTTCCCGCCCAAGTTGAGACGCATTGGTAAAGAAGCCTTTATGTTCTGCGCATCCCTTCAAGAAGTGCATACTCCGCCTGCACTGCAGTACATGGCTCACAGGGCCTTTTTCGACTGTGGACAACTCACTCGTTTCACAAAGATGAGTGAACCACTTGGCAAGGGCCGTGTGCAGAAAGCAACACCTTTGCATTTTTTCCACGAGTGCGGACGCCGTGTGGGCGGAGTGCCCAGGTCATCAAGAAAGGGAAAGGAAACACAACGTGATGAGGGGGTAAGGAACACAAGCAACCCCAAACGCCAAACAAACACCAACCTTTTTTTTTCCACGAGTACGGACGCCATGTGGGCGGTGTGCCCAGGTCATCATTGAAGGGAAGGAAACACAACTTGATGATGGGGAATGAAAACACAAAAACACCCCAAACCAGAACAAACAAAGCAACAAAACCAAACGACAACAAAAAACCACCAAAGGCCAAGGCCAGTTCCCCATCATAACTGTCAGTGTTTCCTCTGTACGGAGGTGAGACAAGTGAGAAATGTGGCTGCATACTATCCTAAGGGCCTGAATTCGCTACGAAAAGTGCCGAGTGTATCTGTGCGTGAGCGGAGAGCCTGCGAAACCAATCAAAACTGGCTTCGTTCTGTCGTCAAGGCTTGACCACCTTAGCCACTG